GAGTAAATTAGAACTTTAAGCAGACAGAACAGCATCATCTCCATGGCTTCTGCCTGGAGATATGCTCAAGCAGCAGGTCTGCAGGCATTGCTGACCTCTGACCTGGTGGGGAACAGTCCCTGTTGGCCTGAATGACACCTACAATCTGAGTTTTCTTTTCTCCCTGAGCAATACTGGAGTGTGTTGTAGGCCTTGGGTTGAGGACAGCTCTTGAGAGGTTCTTGCTGAGAGCAAGAAACTGCTGTGAGGAGAGCAGGGAGGAGGTGAGGGATGAAGAGCAGACGTGGGCTGGAGGGAGCCTGACGTGCAGCAGCCAGATTGAGATACAGCCTGCTGCTAATTTGGTAAATTGCTTAAATGATGTATTAGCAGCTCTGATGCAGACAGTGTCTGGAAGGATTAGCATCATTGTCTTTTCAGCCCTGGGATACTGGTCGGGATCCAATTTTGTCATCTTGATGAGAAAGTCCCAGTAAAACATGTGAGTGATCCTGCAGGGTGCAGGGAGGGCGTGTGGATGTCCTCCTGGGAGCTTTTGGGACTCACCAGTTGGGAGACAGACCTGTCAAACATTCCTGGCTTCGTTTTGTTGTGAAGGTCGAGCCCAAGGCTGTCTCTTGAGGCTATTTGGGGATCTTTCCTTGAGGAAAGGCTGGGTCAGGAAGATTTAGTCTCTAGTCAAAGGCATGAAAAATTCATCGGGGCTGAGTCAGAGAACTTCACTCTGGAGCTGAGCTTCCCAACAGATCAGAGGCACGTGGCCCTGAGGCTGCCTGGATCCAGCTGGGGAGGGTGGACCACCAGGAGCTTGTTTCAAGTAAATCATAAGTGGTTTTATCTGAAGGAAAGTTGATGCTGGTCAAAATACCCTCCAAACCAAAAAATCCTGTATCACTATGTTAATATTATTTCCATTTTTTGGAGCTTTGAGAAGGAGCTGGGTTTAGCTATTTTTTGTGAATTTTTTTTTTCCTGTGTTGTGTTGGTTTTTTTCTGCCAAACCCAACTCTAACTAAAGCCAGTAACACTTTACATTTGGTGACCTCCCATTCTCCCAGACATAAATAATCTTACTAATAGTTTTGGTAAGGTACCTAGTAAAAGCTTCTCAAAAAAAGCTTTGGGAGTTTTGTCCATTTTTGAAGGAAACTTGTCAGCTTATAGAAGTGGTGGGATGTCCCAGCTGCCTCGTGCTCTCACAACGAGGTGAGTGGCCCTGTCCAGTTTGGCTTTGCTTGACTCCAGCCACTCAGCAAGCTGAAGGTGTGGTTACTGTGCCAGGCTGAGAGATGCAGACGAGTTTTCCATCATGAAACCCATCACTTGAGGTGGCACTGGTGCTAATGGCCAGCTGAGATGGTTGTGGGCTGGAAATCATAGAATGCATTGGGCCAGAAGGGACCTCCAAAGGTCATCTACTCCAACTCTCCCACCATAAGCAGGGACATCTCCAACTAGATCAAGCTGCTCAGAGCCTCATCCAGCCTGATCTTGAATGTCCCCAGGGATGGGGCCTCCACCACCTCTCTGGGCAACCTAATCCAGTGGTTTGTCACCTGAAGAACTTTTTCCTAATGTCTAACATAAATCTGCCCTTTTCTGGCTTAAAGCCATTACCCCTCGTCCTGTCCCTCCAAACCCTTGTGAACAGTCCCTCCCCTGCTTTCCTGTAGCCCCTCTCAGGTACTGGAAGGGGTCTATAAGGCCCCCCCAGAGCCTCCTCTTCTCCAGGCTGAACAGCCCCCACTCCCTCAGCCTGTCCTCACAGCAGAGCTGCTCCAGCCCTTGGAGCATTCCGGTGGCTCTCCTCTGGACACTCCAACAGCTCCACGTCCTTCTGGTGCTGGGGGCTCAGAGCTGGACACAGACTGCAGGTGAGGTCTCACAGGGCAGAGCAGAGGGGCAGGATCCCCTCTCTCCATCTGCTGCCCACACTGCTTTGGATGCAGCCCAGCTCTGGTTTGGCCTCTGGTCTGTAGTGTGGTGGTGCAGCAGGAACCATCCACACTTGGGTGTCTTTCACTCCTGGATTGTGGAGCGTGGTACCAGAGCTGGGCGTGGGTGGGAGGGGAGGCTGTGAGCTGCCACGGGTTGTGCTCTGCCATGCTGACCTCCCTGGCTCTCTCAGGCTGCTTTTCAATCCTCCTTCCAGGGTGATACCTCTGATTTAAGGAACCTCTGATAGGAGCAAACGTTTCTGTTCTGGTGAGGCAGCTCTGACCTGCCAGCTGGCTCTTTCCAAACCACGTTACTTCCTCTAGCAGCATTAGGAGATTATCAGGGCCCAGGAAATCTGCATGTCTGAGGCAGATGAATTTTCTAGGCTCTCTGTCCAGAAGTGTTTCTGTGTGCCTGCCAAAGGATGGGAAGCTCAGCAAGAGGGTCGGGTGCTGGCGTGTGAATGTGACAGCCCAGTGCTCACTTCTGACTCTTCTGCCAGCCCCCCTGGGGTGCAGGGAGCCCAGGCTGGCAGGGAGCACATGTGTCCCTTCTGGCCTGGGGAGAAGGTAGAGATCCTTTCCAACCTTAATGATTCTCTGGTTCTAAGGTCATCAAGTCCAACCATCATCCAACACTACCATGACCATTGAAACATGTCCCCAAGTGCCACATCTACTTGGTTTTTTTTGAACCCCTCTAGGGATGGTGACTCCAGCACCTCCCTGGGCAGCTTGTTCCAATGCCTCACCACTCTTTCAGTTGCAAAATTTTTCCTCATACCCAACCTAAACCTCCCCTGGCACAAGATGATGCTGTATGGCAAGAGTGTAGGTTTATAGAAAAGGTGGCAGAATAATTAATGCTTGAAAGAGCAAATAAACTACATGGCTTTGGAAGCAGAGAGTCACGTTGCTCTTTAGGGGAGTGGGGGCCCTGATCTGCATTGAGCACCCTCACTGATGTGTGGAGTTGAGGTAGGAACATGACCTGCTCCCTTACTGTGCAGTTTGGGTGTGGGCATAATTAGATAATGTGTGTATTAGTCAGTAGAGCCAGTTATTTTTTATCCTGTTTGGAAATAACTCTCTCAAAATAATTAATAGCTATGGGGATGTAACTGACTTAACTGACATAACTATGGTGTGGATGGACGAGTGGGGTCTTCTCCTAGATGCCCCAGAATAAAATAATCAGAATCATGCTGGTGGAGGCAGCTCCTCAGGTTTTTGAGGTGTTTACATGAGGCTCTGTGGGGTCAGGATCACGTGTTTTGGTGAAGGAAATGTGGCTCAGTGTCTGTAATTAAAACTCAATCAAAATAAAATGGAGGGAGTTTACTTGCAACAAGTTCCTAGAACTGACATGAAGATGAATTGCATCTATATTGAGTTCAACTTGCAGCTAAAGAAATGTATTAAAATGACAATAAATCATTGCATTAGTATTAAAGAGGCTAAATCTGTCTAAGCTCAAATAAATCAAAAAGGGGACTGCTGTTGGGCTGTGAGTGATAGAAGAATTTTACTGCAACTGTTCAAATCTGTAGCTTGCCAAGTGCCTGCTACTGAAATGGAATCATCTTTGCATGCCTGGGCACAGTGTAGGACCAGAAACCTTCCTTGGGATACTCTTCCTGCTGGCAAATATTCTCCTCCTTCCTACAGCAAAGAGAATCCCATCAGCAAAGGTTTTTCCATCAGCAGCTCTTGGAATCCCTAGTGAGGAAAACTGCAGAAGACCTTCCTGAAGCTCTGTGCTGCAGTGCAGCCTCCCAGGACTTGAGGATGGCCCCAAATTTCAGAGCTGTGCTCCCCACTCTGTTCAGTGCAGTTATTTTTAGACTGGGAAAACTCCTTCTCCTTCACATGAGCAATTTTCAGGTTGTTTTTAAGGATCCCAAACTGCTAAATCTGTCTCCCCTACCCTGGAATATGCAGTCTGGAGAATTCTGTGGTTGACTAGCACAGTTTTCTGTGATATTGATCCAGCATACAGGAGAATATTACTCTGATACTTAATTAAAATTTTAATATTAAGAAAATTAACCACCAGTCATTCAAGGTAAAGCTGCAAATCTAATTTTAAGCTTTCTTTTTTAAAGTTTTCTTCCTTGAACTTAGGTTTTAGCAAAGACAGGCTAAAAAAAGTTTCTATCCTATGCTGATTTACTCAAAGCATGAACCTGGAGAACCACACGCCTCCTTTTCCAGCTTTTTCTCAGCACAAGTGCCTAAGCAGGAGCTTTTGGTGCAAAGGCTGCTGCTGCTCAGTGAGAATTGCTCTCATAGCAGTGATCAAAACAGCTTCATACAGCCCTGGCTCCTGCTCTCCTTGGGATGCTGAGAGCTTTAAGTGTACATACAGGAGCAAAAGGTGTGATTTATTATTTCCCCATGGAGAAATAAGACATAATCTCATTATTTCTTATTATTCCTATTTCTCCATGGGGAAAAGCCTGTGGCAGTGGAAGCCCAGCAGTGAGATGAGACCCCTCCCCATGCAGCTCCCTAAGCTGTGAGTCCAAGTAGGATCTGTAGATAAAAGTGGAGCTGTTTTTCTGTACAAAACGCCTCTATTTTGAGAGGTTTGCTGGGAAGACTGTTGGTTGTGTCCTGGCAGATCCTGCATGGGGACAAACTGAATCCTGGCTCAGCTTGTCCCTTTGTCCTGACCCAGTATTGCTCAGAACTGGGAGCTGGAAGGGGCTGAAAGCCCACTCGTGCAGACCTTTCCAGGAGGCAGGTATGAGCTGTGCTTGGAGAGCTCAAACCTCTTCATGGCCTCACAAATCACTGTGTGCAAGCAGTCAGTGAAAACATCTTTCAAGGCATCATATTTGTTCTGACATTTCCCAGACAGATCCCAAAGTGGGAATGGGTCGGCTTGCATGTCGTTATTGGGGAGACATCTGTGGTGCCAGGAGAACTTGGTATGGAAACTATCTGCTCTGATTTCATCAGATCTGAAACAGAACATACTGATGTCTCCTCTCAGCTTCAATCCCCTCGTGGCAGTGCCAGTGCTGCCCTCTCTAACCCTCAGCATCTTACCTCCAACAGGTTGGTGGGACCAAGACCGGCGTGGTGCGCTACGTGGGAGAGACAGACTTTGCCAAAGGAGAGTGGTGTGGTGTGGAGCTGGATGAGCCCCTGGGGAAGAACGATGGGGCAGTGGCTGGTACAAGGTACTGTCTGCTCCCAAACCCAGCCCGGGTCACGTAGGGTCCTGCACACCCCCTTGCCTGGGGGCTGAGGGCCACTGGGACCTGGGAGGAAGAGTTGGGGCTGCATCTGGTTGGACACTGTGGGCTGGGAGAAGTCCAGTTTGGAGCTTTGGGATGGCTTTGCAGGGAGATCAGTGGAAAGGTCATCACTGGAGCATTTTAAAGCAGGATCAGATAGCATCTGTGAAGAAATAAACTGAGTGGCTTCAGGAAACAAGGGAGAGAAGATAAATTATAGTGGGATTTAGCTTTTTGCTAGAATTGATTCTGTAATTGTATGAGCTCTGCTTTCTACCACACATTCCCTTCATAAACTTTCTTCTTGTGCTGAATCTATAATTCACCCTGTCAGAAGTACAGCAAATAGAGATTTGACTCTCCTCCTTGACTTAATGTTAGCTGTTCTGTTCTTTCTGGGAACAAATTCCCAGAGATCTGAAAGAACTTTGGTCATAGTTGTCTGTCCTTGTGCTGACTGATCTTAACACTGAGTGACTTAACAGGGACCTCCACTATTTTCTTTCCAAAAAAGTCATGCTAGTACCTATAAAACCAGGCAGGGATATCCTGCAGGCTTGCTGGGAAGCTCTTTCCCCATGGAATTTGGGTAAGAGAATGACCCCCAGCCTTAGATCTTGAGCCTGGGTTTGTTCAACTCTGAGTTATACAGCAGCACTTTGACTCTGCTTCAAATACAGGTGGAACAGATTCCTTGTACTTCACAAGGCCCTTTTGTGGGAAATACTGTTGATTTCTTGGAGATTCTTAAGAGATTCTTGCATCAGAGGTGATGTTTAACTTCGAGGAGCTGAGAGTTCCTCCCTTGTTCCCTCTCAGGTTCTGCAATAACAGCTTCTTGTGTTGGGTCAGCCTCGTTTTGCCCAGCAGCCATGTATTTTAATTACAAGTAGGAGAAATGCTGCCTTGTTCAATGTCAGGACAAGAAAGCAGTCAATGATTGACAGCAGATGGTTGAGTTCCAGCCTATTCTCAAAAGAAAAGAACTAGGGTGGTAGGGAGTAAGCCCTGGAGTCAATCCAAGTCCCTGCTTTCGTTATTATGCAGACACTACAAATTATTTCTGAGCTTACTCTTCAGGGTGCTCAGAAATGATGCATTGTCTGTGTGCATGTGGAAGGCAGATGTCAGGGTAAGGATGGACCCTCTGCCTCTCATCCTCACCCCTCTGGCTGCGTTTGGAAACCCCAGCTTTTGGAATCATCTATCTTCTGAAGCTGGTACGTCTTGGCTGAGGGGGTTGGGGGATGTGCCCTGTGTGCAAGGCTTCCCCTCTGTTTCACACTTTATCAGGAGTGAGGAGAACTGGAGCTTCACAGCAAGGATCTGGGAGCAGGAGTGAATTAAGAGGTCTGGATTAAAGAGGAGGTTGAGGGAAGTCTGCAAGTCATCCCTGCCCTTCTCATCCAGGCTGATTTTGCAGCTCTTCTAGCAATAAGGGACCCTAGCTGTGGTACACGTGGACTCTCTAGCTGAAGGGTGCTCTCTCCACCAAGGATCTGGGTGCAGGTTTGCAGCATTGTCCCTGCTTGTCCTTTGAGCCTTCATCCAACCTTCCAATTTTCCTACAGCACGCACCGATTTCAACAGCAGTGGTTTGGAGAAGCCAAGGCAGTAAAACCCATCCCCTTGGTGCATCTGGGTGTTTCTCAGACAGTCTTGCCTGTGTTTGCCATGGCCACATGGGATTCCTGACACTGCCCAGAGCTTGTCCTGCCTGAGTCAGGCTGGGCAGAGCGTCCAGGACTCTGGAATCCCTCTGCTTTGGTGGTGGTTGCCATCTAGTGAGCATCCTTGGCCTGGCTGCTGGGACCAGCCTGCTACAAGGAGAGCTGAGTCCAAAGAGCTGGCTCAGGTAGTGGAGGCTGGTAGAAGTAGGAGAAGCAAGGTGGACAAAGGACATTGTCACCATCTTTGCTGCTGTGGACAACTCTAGTTGAGTTGGTGGTGCCTTGGCTGAAATCTGTGGGTCACTCTGATTTTCTTACAGGTTCAGGAACAGGCTGCAGGTCTAGATGTGCATCAGGGGAAGGCTGGAGGGGCAGGGTTCCCCAGGCAGCTCCTGGCTCTCTGGTGGAGGCTGCCTGCAGGCTGTGGCCCAGCAGCAGTGCCTGAGAGGATGGGGGACACAGTGGTGACCCCTCTCCATACAGCAGATGGGTGCTCCTGAGGCATGGAGGTTGGCTGCATCTGCTTCCCTGTCTGCACAGGACACTGGAGAGGGGCTGGTGTGGGGTTTTTTTTGGTTTCTTATGCACAAAGTCAAGCAAGTTCCATTTACTCATCTCTAGTATATATCTTTACCTGCTGATTTTACTGTTCTTCATTTTCTGCCTCTGCTTTTATGGGTCTCTGCCCACTGAACAGCTCATAGATTTGTTCTAACATAGTCTGAAATATGTCAGCTTTGGACACTGAGGGCTATTTTTATCTATTGCAGAATTTTCCTGCCTGCAGTTTGCTTCACCATCCCAACACCAGCACTTTTCCTCCTTGTTGCTTTTTCTAACATGAGTACAGAGCTCCTCAGCACTCAGGGAGAGCAGTTCTTGGCTGTCAAGCAGGCTATTTTTTTTTCTACCAAGTGTTCTGGACACAATTCTTGCTTCTGAACTATAAAAGCTAATTGCAACCACTTCCAGTCTGGACTAAGAGAAAAAGAGCAGACATAGTGATGCAATTTTGGACTTGCTAAGAGCCATTGAGAGCTTTTGAGGGGCTTGGCCTTTGGCACTGGGTGCAGCCACAAGCACCAGTCTACACTTAGCCCAGACAGACCTCAGGAAGGGGCTGTGCCATAGAATCATTTAGATTGGAGAAGACCTTTAAGCTCATCAAGTCCAACCGTGCTGTTGGTCTGCCTGTGCCTACTGCAGTTTGGGAACATGATGCTGAGCAGGGCTTTGGCTGCTTTGCAGGAGGTCAGACTGATTTCTCCCCCCTGGGTCCCCGTTGTGCAGCGAGGTCAGCCTGTGGTGTGGCTGGTTTCCCAAACCCAAGGGCTGGCAGCAGGCAGAGGGGGCTGAGGGATTTTTGGGTTGCAGAGGGTTGGGGTTTTTTTTAAGATTGTTATAGAAGGAAATTGGGCTTGAGCAGCTGTTTGGAAGTGAATCACTTTCCCATCTGGCTGGAGCTCGGGCTGTTCTCTGGCCTCCCAAGCACACAGAGGTCTGCCTGTGACACAGCACTGACAAATGCAGGGGAGCTGGGGAACAGCTGCTCACATCTGCAGAGAGAGGCCTTCTGCCAGCAAAGCTGGATGTGAAAACTATTCATTAGGACCTGGTTTTCTGTTAGCATAGGCTGGACTGTATTATGGCCCAGTGTTTACCCCTCACCTTGCTACAAAGCCTCTGAGAGAGACCCTTAAAGGAGACAAGTTTTGTGTTGGCTGCTCCCTTGAGACAAGGGGATGTGCTGCCTGGAGGTGATCTGGTTGTCCTTGCTGCAGGGCAGCTGGCTGGCCACAGGTAAACCCTGGCTAGAGCTGCTCAGCCCAAGCTCTGAAGGAGTTCCTGAGGTTTGACACTGTGGGGTTTGGCTCATGTCTAAAAAAGGGCTCCAGAGAGAGACAATCATTGGGCTCACTGCAACTGTGGGAGAGAGATCTCACTCATTATCTATCCTCCTATTTTTGTTGACTGCATTTGAAGTTTGTCTGCATGGGAAGCAGTTTGGCTTTGTCACCCAGAGGAGATGGCACATGCTGGAGCTTGCTGTGATGGCATTGTTAGCTTCAAAGCTAGGACCTGCCACTTTCCCCCTTTTGTTTGGAGAGGAAAGACCCTACAGAACATTTACACAGAGCTGGGGGGTTCTGATCTCTTTATTCAGCACTCATTACTCTGTGACTTTCTTGCAAAGCAGGGCAGAGAGCACACATGAGGGTCAGGGAGGTTGGGGTGCCTGTGCCCTCACTGTTTCTGTCCTGGGACCTCCAGATGACCACATGGGTCTTTCCTGGCATCTCATCAAAGTGCCCAGCCACAAGTACATGCCAATTCTCTCAGATTTCCCTGCTCAAGCACCACAAGGGGAAAGCTGGAGGTTGCCACCACTCTGAGTGGCAGAAAAGGAGAGTAATCCAGCCCCTTGTATGCAGGAAAGAAGGTCACAGCAGAGCACCAGGAGATGAGCTGAGGGCCGGGGTTGGGTGTTGCTGGGCAGTGCCACTCTGCAAAGCTTGGGTGAGATGGGTGCTCTGCCAACTTCTGACTCGCTCTGCCTCCTTGTTTTACAGGTATTTTCAGTGCCCTCCCAAGTTTGGCCTCTTTGCTCCCATCCACAAGGTGATCCGCATTGGGTTCCCATCAACCAGCCCCGCCAAGGCCAAGAAGAGCAAGAGAATGGCCATGGGGGTGTCTGCCTTGACCCACAGCCCCAGCAGCTCCTCCATCAGCTCTGTCAGCTCGGTGGCATCCTCTGTTGGGGGCAGGCCCAGCCGCAGCGGGCTGGTGAGTGGCTCTGGCCATGGGCTGTGCAGCCTCACTCCACTTCTGCTGTGACCTGGCTCTGCCAAGGGGGAGGGTTGGGGTTTTGTCTCAGCTCCTTCACCAGTGAGATGAGGAGAGTGGTGTGTGGGGTCCTGCTGCCCACCCTACAGGTGGGAAACCTTCCATGGGCACAACTCATAACAGACACGGAGCAGCTGTGGTGGGATGGATCTCAGGTCCACTGTCAGGAGCAGGTTTTATGTAGGAGCCCAGCAGAAAAATGCCATAGCTGCTTGTCCCATGTGGTTGTGCAGGATTGTGCTGCTGAGCAGCTACACAAAACCTCCCACAGCAGCTGCACTTTGGGGAGGGGTGACACTGCCCCGGATCACACGCCTGGTGCTTCGGCAGGTTCTCAGGATGGTGGACACCAGAGCTTGCAGCAGTGTTACTAAAAGCTCTGGCTGCTGCATAGCATCTGCAGTTGTCCTGGCTGGGGACAAGGGTGCAGTGCCCAGTGCTGGGAACCCGTTCCAGTCTCCAGCTGAGCTTCATCCTCCTAGCTGAGCTCTCCAGTTAGGACTGCACCAGTTCAGGCCACCAATAAAATATCCTTAAGAAGGCAGATGATACAATACCTGATAATCTTTCCTGCCCAGGTTCCCACCCCACATCCTGTCCTTTGGGAAGGGTCCTTTCATTGCAGTGTAGAAGAGCTATTGAGCTTGTGAGCAGTGTCCAGATGTTCTGCAGCCTTGTCACCCCACGTGTGGGGTCCAGAGCTGGAACTGCAGCTCTGCACAGCCTAATAAGTGATCTGTTAGGTGAGCTGCAGTCCAGATTTAACAGGGGACTTGAAGCTATTCTAGACTGGGCAGGTCATAGCTTTACCCCTCTCTCTTTTTCTCCTAGCTGACAGAGACCTCGTCTCGATATGCCCGAAAAATCTCTGGCACCACAGCTCTCCAGGAGGCCCTGAAGGAGAAGCAGCAGCACATTGAACAGCTGCTGGCAGAGCGTGACCTGGAGCGGGCTGAGGTGGCCAAAGCCACCAGCCACATCTGTGAGGTGGAGAAGGAGATTGCCATCATGAAGGCCCAGCACGAGCAGGTAGGAGGGGATGTGGCTTCAGCAGTCAGACATCTGCATCCTCTGAAAGCCTCAGACCATCATGTTGCCCTCTGTAGCTTCCTGGTGTGAAACCTGGCCTCTGAATTTCTGCCTCTCTGTAGGGACAGCGTCTTGCATGGTGGGTTGAGCTGAGGCTCCTTCTCCACTCCTGCCAGTGTCACTTGTCCTCTCTCTGCCCCAAACCAGGAGCAGTAAGAGGGCTGTGCCTGTAAGAAGACAGAGGATACTTTGTGTGTGGAGGATCAATACATCTGCGTGCTGAAATGCAAAGCAGAGGGACAGTTTGTTCCCCTTAACCACCCAGGCTGGCCTTGGCTGTGACTGCATTGCAGTGGTGCTGCTGATGCTATCAGATGCTTCTGAGAACATCAGCTCCACTCAGATCTACCAGAGAGGACATTTTTATCACATTAATAAAGTCAAGAGATCTGTAAGGAAAACAGGCTGATCATATGAGCTTTTTTTGCACAAGCATTTGTACCAATGACATTTTATGCCCTTGGATGCTTCAAGAGAGGAGGTTTGTGCAGTTCATCAGTGTGTGGCTCTTCAGTAACCACTGCTGTCCCCAATTCCTTGTTTCTAAACCCCAGTCAGCTACAGGGAGCAGGGAATGGCACTGTGGATTTTTGTCTTTTTTTGTCGTCTTACCATAGCATCCTCTGAAATGGATGATCAGAACCCTCTTTGCCTTGGTTCTGATCCTTTTTAAGACAACTCTGTGCTTCAAACATAGTTAACTTCTGTGTCTTGGGCTCTCTTTTTGCTGCAGTATGTGGCAGAGGCAGAAGGAAACCTCCAGCGGGCACGAGCCCTGGTGGACGTGATGCAGAAGGAGAAGATCGAGCTGCTGAACGAGCTGGAAGAGGAGAAGAGGTAGAGCAGGAGTTGGGTGGGTGTGGAGAACAAAGTCATGGGGGAGATGAGGCTTCTACCAGAGAACATCATTCATGGGATCTAAGGAGAAGAAAGTGGCTGGGAAAGTCATCTTGAGATGTCTTCCAACACCTCAAATATGTTGTTCCACTCTCCTGGGCACTGTGCTCTAGCTGCATGCAGGGAAGGGATGTGCTGCTCCAGGTGATGGAAAGCTTAGGATAGTTTTGCTGCAGTTGGACATGTGATGTGACTCTTGCCTAGCCCTGAGCACTTCTTCCCTCTCTGTTTGTGATGTGCTGAACTTAAGGATGTTCCTTCTGAGCAACAAGGTCCAGCTGGAGCAGAGCCTGACTGCAGTGTCATCTCCCCACATCCCAGAGCCCCCATCCATGTGTATATGATGATGCATACATACATTTCCTCTCTGGATAAGGGTGAAGAGCTGCTTGTCATTCTTGGAGTCCAAGTGCTCTCCATAGAAACTCTTCAGTGGGAATAGAAAGACATTTCTGAGTGTTAAATAACTGCAACCAGTGTTGATTTCAATTGAATGATGCCCCTCCTGAGGATGAATTGTTCTTTCCTGCACAAGTCTCTCCATCCTACTGGTAGGCAGCTTGCTTTCCCAGCTCCAGGAGGCCCTTTATCCCAAGACAGCTGAGTTCTTTCCTAAATATCAACAGATGCCTCCTCTAATTAGAGGAGGTTTAGACAAGGGAGCTTGTTTATGAAGTTAGATGTGTACACTCACAGCTATTTTTATCTGTAATAGAATCAACCCTTACATCTGGCTACCAGCTCAACATCTGCCTTATTGCCCTTTTTGAAAACAAATCATTAAGGAGAACAAAGAGGACTGAGTTTAGTAGAAAATTGAATGTTTGGGGTTTTTTTTAATCTCTACTGGATTTTCTCTTCAGACTCTGCAGAAGTGTCCTTGGCATGTCTGCTCTGGTTCATGTGGGTTTCTGTGCATTTATTCATGGCTGGCCCACACAATCCCTGGTGAAGGCTTTTCTGCCAGGGTCACTCACCATTTCCACAGTATGGAAAAATGAAGACTCTGCCAAGGAGGCAGAGGTTCCAGCTGCCTTGGAATATTTATGGACCCTGTGCATTTGGCATGGGAATTGCCCCGTGCTTGGCTGCAAGATAGCAAGGTCTAAGAAAACCAGTGAAACCTGGTTGTTGATGTCTTCAGGATCTCAGTGGCTGTGCTGGCTGAGAGGTGGTGCAGCAGAAACAGTGTGGACCTTGCTAGAAGGGGGATGTTTGCTCTGTGGAAAGCTGGGGTATTAGCTGTCTTGCTCCATGGGTCTTGCTGTTTAGCTGCTGCTGAGGTGGTTGCATACAAAGGTTGCCTGTATCTGTCTCCTCTCAGTCTTGGGTTGTGCAGGGGAGGTTTGTGTGGAATGGGTGGTAAGAAATGGGGTGCTGATCTGGGTGTTCCTCATTGCTCTTTGTGTCTTTTCCCCTTGCCAGGAAAGTGGAGGACTTGCAGTTCCGTGTGGAGGAAGAATCCATCACAAAGGGGGACCTGGAGGTAATTCCTCACACCCTTACCCCAGTGTGGCCTTCAAACCTGTGGGGCCTCACCTGAGTAATTTCTGTCACCTTTTGCTCAACTCTAAACAATTCTGTCTCTCTGCTGATGGCTTTGGAGCTGCTGGGAGCACCGTGGTGCAGACTCTGAAGGCTGTTCTTTGGTGTGTTGCCTGGTGACTAACAACACTAGGATCTGCCCAGGATTAATCTCATGCAGCCAGCCTGGCTTTAAATGTTGCCGTGAGTTGCCAAGCCATGTTCAAATCTGTTTCTGATTGCACTTCAGGCATATGTTTTTCCACTGTAGAAATGCATTGACTGCTCAGTCACTGTCACTGAGTGCCCCGTTAGTAGCAGCTCGTGGGCCCAGTCTCCCAGTTGGGTGCCATTCCATTCCAGATGACATGTGTTATTTCACCAGCAGTCCCCTCCTGTGGAGTCCCCTGCCCATCAGTGTGGGTAACATTAACTAAAAATTCTTCCCAGAAAGGGCTGTGCCAGGCTGCCCAGGGCAGTGGTGGAGTCCCCACCCCTGGAGGGGTTTCCAAGCTGTGGAGATGTGGTGCTGAGGGACATGGGGCAGTGGGGACCTGGCAGTGCTGGGGGAATGGTTGGACTTGATGGTCTTAAAGGTCTTTTCTAACCAAAATCAGGACTTGCTCTTATCTTTATCCAGAGCACTACGTTAGCCAGGAACATCAAGGGACCTGTTTTTGTGCTTCACTGTCTGTCTTGTCAATAAAAGCCCAGGAAAATGGGGAAACTAGGCAATGGAGTGTGTCACTGTGGCTTTGACCCTCTTGCCATAAAGGTCTCTTGTTTATCCAGACACTGAAGCAGAGGAGTGTGTGTGTGGGTGTAAATCAGCAGTGCACTGTTAGACCTTTGCTGAAGGACAGCAAGTGCACTTTCTGCCTAGTGTGTGGGGGCAAAACCAGGTCTCTGTTGAATCCTGAGCCTAGGTGGTAGATTTCTTCCAGTGCTTCAGAGAAGGGTGGTTGATCCATCCATCCATGATTCTCTTTGGGAGCAGTGGATTGTTCCTGTGTGAGCCCTAAGTGTTTAATCCTGGCTGTGTAATAGTGGCAATGGGCCCAGGGCTGGCTAGCAGCTCATTTAGATATATTAAAACAAAAAAAAGCCCCTGAGCTTTAGCAAGGTGGTAAGCTGCTGTGGTGTAAGTGCTCCTGTGTCTGCAGGTCCCAAACTGAGGACAGGTCTGACCTTGGTTTGGGCTGGGAAGGAGTTGCTTTGCAATGGGAATGTGACCCAGCTTCTTGCAGGCTGCCAAGGCTCTGTCCCCACTCGTGGTCCTCTCTGCAGAGGAACAAAGGAATTCTTAGGGAAGAGTCATGGAAAGCTCTTGGGGAAGAGCCATGGATCAGCTTGGTTTCCTGTGATACAGAGAGTTGAGGTGTTCCCCCATGGGTCCAACACCAGTGATGGCACAGACACTGTCAGAGGGCTTTGCTGTGGTCAGGTTTTACCTTCTGTCCTGTCTAATTGGGATGCTCAGGCTGAATGATTGACTCCCTGTCATTAATTCTCACCTCTCCACTTTGTTGTGGAGGTGGTTAGAGTTTCCAGAAGGAAGTCATTCACATAAAGAAAAACATCTCACTGGGAATCAGGGGGCTGAGTGCTCCTTGTTGCAGTATGTTCCCTGGGAAATAGTTCTATAAAATTACAACAAATCAGCCAGTGCCTGCCAGCCCAACCCTTTGTGTCCCCAGCTAGAGCTGAGCTAACCACCCAGATATCAAAAGCAAAACCCAGCAGCACTTGTCTCCCCTCCTCTGGTCTTGTCCTCTTACACCAGCAGCCCTGAGGACTTCAGAGCACTCAGAGGAGGATGTTTATCTTGCACATCAACAGACGTGATGGGAGGAAAAGATTTTTCTCCTCTGTGGCCCCTGGATTTAGGGCCTGTGCTGAAGTCTAGGCTAAATCCCATGGAGTCTCTCATAATATGTGGGTTTTACACAAAGCTGGGACTCCAGGGTGTTGAGCATGGCAGGCAGCACCCCTTGAAGCTCTGTGTCCAAAGAAATCCATGTGTATGGAGCCTGCAGATATGGGTCTCAGTTTTGGACCTCTGATAAAGGGGGAGGAGCTGCAGATTTAGCCTTGAAATGTAGTTGTGAATTCAATGTATTTTTGATCCTGGTTGGCCATGCTGATGTTATCGTGCTTGGGAAGGTGAAAAGCAATTACAAGAAAACAAAAAAGCAATTCCAAGAAAACAAGACCTTTTAAACAATGCTTTTTCTGGTGGAAGACTGTGTTAAAGGCAATATTCACCTCTTCAAGGAGCTGTCTCATGCCTAGCTCCTGGAACCTGCCTCATACCTTGAGCCCCAGTGGGAAGTCAGTAATTTGTGAGTAGTAATTCAAGGCTAATAGCCTAAAATTCCAATCCAGACTTCCTCAAAGTGCAGGAAAACTTTGGATTTGAGGCTCCGAGTCATACTAGCTGGAGAAACCAATTTCCTTAAAATAAGAAGTGACACAGGGCTTGGTGTGAATCTTCAGCTGTGTTTAAGGACCATAAAACACTTGATTTCACTTTCTTCCCTGCTTATTTTTCTCCTCTATTTTCATGTGTTTTCCCAGACTTGGAAAATAGCAGGATGGGTAGATATTGAGCTTGGCTGGGAACTTGAGTGTCAGCCTCAGGAGTCTTGAGAGAGTTTCTTTGGGAGACCCAGATTAGTTTTGTGATAGGTGAGCATCTTCAGGTAGCCAATATCTGACATGCTGCCACCAGGCCAGGTAATTTCAGAAGTTTGTGTTGCTGAAGTTTCACCGGGGGATTTTGAGCTAGTGTAAAGGGAGGAAAATTCATTAATATCAATGGAATTAAGTATCCCTGTAAATAAAATCAAGCCTGGAGCTCCATCTTGAGATGTGGATCTTTGCAGGGAGGAGAAGGCACTCAGTACAAAATTAAATGTCTTTATGATTTCTTCAGCCAGCTTGTGTACTTCAGTGATATTATTTGGGGGTTTTGATAATGGTTGGGGTTTTGAAACCACTTTTTTGTTTTCCTCCTTCAGAGGTCCAACAGACCACATAAAATATGGAGGAATCTGAGTATATTTGGCAGTTGAGATCTTGACCATCTCTGAATATATATATAAAAATATATTTATATATAATGATACCTTTCCTGCCATAAGAGAAAACATGGATTTTTATGAGCTTCAGCTTCCATTGTTGGTACACAACTAACCAAAACCTGCTTTATTGTAGGAAAGGGCACAAAAATCCCTAAAACTCTTTCCAACAGAAAGAGGGGGAAATACATAATGATATGGAAAATGAAAAGCAGAAAATGGGGATTTTAAAATGGTTCTCATCAGATTTATTTGCTTTTTCATAGGTCCAGTTAAATTCAAAGGAAAATGTTGGGTGTAAGCTAAAAAAAGCAAAGTGAAGGCCAGAGTCTGCATGCATTTTCCTTCCCCCCTTTTATTTTTGGGAAATTTTACATGATATTACAGTGGTCGTTGTGGAGTCCTGAGGTTTGCCACCAAGTGCAGCCATCTGGGACTTCTGCTTCAAAAGTGGGGGGCACTGAAGCAATCCCTGGGGTCAATGCTCCTGGGTTTGGGCAGGTGACCAACTTCTTGTGCTTAGTTTAAAAAAAAAAAAAAACAAACCAGCAAAACTAAAACAGAACAGATAGTTCTGCTTTGGGCTGTCAAGAGTCTCAGGGTTGGAAGAATCACTTCAAAATTCACAGCAGCCCTTTTCAAACCTGAAGCACTGATTTACATAACAGTTGCAAATCAGAGCAATGTAGATATCCTTTCAGTGCATTTTTGGGTTTAGCACCATGCTACATAAAGTGTGATCTCATTTTTCAATCTTTTTTTCCCACCTAGTGCAGGGTTCAAGCTGTCTCCTGAGCAAAAAGAGGATGGGAATTTCCAACTCTTTTTCCATCTACCTCGTGATTTTTCTCGAGGAGAGATGCAGAGAATCATTGCAAGGTCTTTGCATTCTGTGATGTGGTGCAAGGATCTTGTCCTGGTGGGAGCTTTTATTCCTAAGAAGGAATTGGCTTCAGTATGGTCTTGGTGCAGGGAGAGCAGCTTTGTAATGCAGAGGGAGGTTTTCCCTGTGTGGATTTCTTGGGCATAGTGACTACGAGTACCATGTAAAATCCCCCACAGACCATTTTCTGTTCGGTTGGGTTTTTCTTGCCTGTTTAGATCTTTATTCTCCTCCTGTTTGTGAACTACCTTTCCATGTCGTGTACACTGAAGATGATGCTGCAGCCTTCTCTTTCCCAAAAAAAACCCTTCCCTTTTCCCACCTCCACTGTTCTTTTCTCCCTCTGTGTGACCAGACTCAGACGCAGTTGGAGCATGCCCGAATACGGGAGCTCGAGCAGAGCCTGCTGTTTGAGAAGGCACAGGCTGAAAAACTCCTCAGAGAATTAGAGGACACCAGGGTAATCCACCCCCATCTGCCCTGCTTGCAGACCAGCGTGCTTGCCCCCTGCCTTGATACTCATGGCACCTTGCTTTGGGTTTCTTTTGGGGTTTTTTTTTTGTGGGATTGATTGATTTTGGCTTGAACTGAGGCTTCCTTAATTTTTTTTTGTTGGTTTGGTTTTTATTTCCTTTCTCTCCTGGAAATAGTACTGAGATGTATTTTCTAGCTTTGCTTCTTCTTGGGGGGGGACTTGTTTCTCAGGTTGAGTTTGCTTCTCTGCCCCATGCCACCATTTGACACATGAGCTCTTCACAATTCATCTGTCAGTTAACATGCCAAATAATATCTGCACCCTGCACAACTCATTCTGCCTTGAGGCTCCCCAAGCTTGCACAGGAGATACCATTGCAATCAGCATCCCCTTGGTCCCCTCCTGCCATCTGGAACAGGAGATGCTGGTGAGTGCAGGTGGACCAGCTCTGATCCTTGCCCAGGTTGCCCAGATGAACAGTGCACCCAGTCCTCAAAGCAGCCAGATGTGGAAAGGGCTGTTACGTGCTGGTGTGGTGTGGGAAGTGGCAAACTGGCTGCAGTGAGCTCACTTCTCATCAGGGGGTTTTAGAGCTGCAGAAAACACCAATGTGAGGTTCTCCAAAAGGGCTAAAAATGGTTTGAACACCCCTGTGTCCATCTAAACTGAAAGCCACCCAGCCTCCCAGGCTGGTGGTTAGTGGGGAAAATGGCAATTGAAAGGAAATGGAATTGAGTGCTTCTGGTTTGGCTTGGTTTCCTTGTTTCTTCTGCTTTTTTCTGATGTTTCATCTAGCCAGATCTCCTCTTCTTCATCTGTAGCTGCAGCACCCTGAGCTCCCTGTGGCTAGCAGGTGGTTCAGCCATGTGGGGTTACATTCAGATCCTAAGCCATTGACTCATGGCCCTTATGCTCAGCCTTAACCACAGCCAGATTTACTGTCTTGCATCCTCGAGCCTTCTGTGTTATTTTGCCTTTGCTAAGCACACTAACGAGCACTTGTGTGTGAAAACCCCTTTTCCTTTTTACACCAGGGACAACAAATTCCAATGCAGAAGGAGAGGTCTGTAGGCTGAGGATTGCTGAGCAATAAAGGAGACCTGATATGCTTCATGCTGGCTTCAATGCCTGTGATACTCCTGCATGTGCCACCACATTTCCTCTGTGCATCATCTGGCACGGTGCCTAGGCTGGAAATATAATGCCCTTTCAGGACATTATTTTTCTTCAACCACTGTTGCTCTCTAGGGGTGTTCCAAGGATGTGTGTTTTTCTGTGGATAAGGAGAGGAATAAAAAAAACCAAAGACCAAACTGCAATTGGCACAAAGACACAACTGTGGCCAGTGAGGGTTACCCTGGTGCAAAACTCCTCGCACTGGAGAGTGCTGGGGATTCTTTCCCTGTTTATCTGAGCTTTGACTGATGTATTTTGGGTTTACTGCCACTGGAGCACACTTGCTGCAAGGAGGGGTGCAGCGATGGGAGGTGGGGACTGACTTTGTCTTCTCTGTCATGTTGCAGCTGACCACAGTAGCAGAGAAGTCCAGGATCCTGCAGCTGGAGGAGGAGCTGAGCCTCAGGCGCAGCGAGGTGGACGAGCTCCGGCAGTGCCTGAGGAGCTCTCACCAAGCTGAGACCCCTGAGCACAACCTGGGCTTGCAGTCAGAGGCTCTTCGCCTACGAGATCAGCTGCTGTCTGCCAACAAGGAGCATCAGAAGGAGAGCAGCCAGCTCAAGGAGAAGTATGAGAAGACATTAAAGAAGTACCAGCAGGAGATGGAGAAGCTGAAATCTGTCAATGAGAAGTACTCGCAGGAGATCGTGGACCTAAAGCATAAAGTTCAGCAAGCCACTAATGAGAACATGGGGCTCATGGACAACTGGAAGTCCAAGTTGGACACGTTAGCTTCTGACCACCAAAAATCTCTGGAGGACCTGAAAGCCACATTGAACACAGGCCCTGACAGCCAGCACAGGGAGATCGTGGAACTGAAGGCAGTGGTGGAGAGTATAAAGATGGAGCACCAGCTGGAGCTGGAGAACCTGAAAGCAAAGCATGACATTGAGACAGCTGTTCATATAAAGGAGAAGGAGAGCCTCAAACTGAAGTTGCAGGAGGCTGTGGATGAAGTGGAAAAAAACAACAGTGACTGGAAAATGCAACTGGAAACCAAAAGCAACCAGCACCTTCTTGAGCTCCAAGATGTGAAGGACAAGTGTCGAGATGCTGAGCTAAGGATGCATGAACTGGAGAAACTTCATGAGGAATATAAAGATCAGACCCAGGCAATAGCTTTCTTGAAAGAGCAGATTTCTTTGGCCGAGAAGAAGATGTTGGACTATGAAACACTACAGAAAACAGAAGCCCACAGCAAGCAGGAGATCCACAGATTGCAGGAAAAAGTGCTTGTCTTAGAGAACCAGCTGCAGTCCATGGAGGCCCTGCATCCTTCTCAGCATGCAAATGTATGACTGCTGGGTCACTTTGCTGGTTTGTCATCACTGTTAGGAACCCTGCCTGGGTGTAGCCCTCAGCTGCTGCCTCCTGCAGTTTTTCTGAGGCTTTTTATGCCTCAGAGTATCTGGATGGTTTTACTTTCTGTTGGTAGTGCTCTTTCTGCACTGCATCTCCATGCTGAAGGTGTCTTCCAACTCTTGTGCCAGTAGGGAGGCACAGCTGGAAGAAATAAGAGTTGAGAGGAGCAAGTGGGACACGCCTGGGCTTGAAAGCACCTAAGTCCTGTGGCAGCAGAGTTAGGCTACCATGGCTTGTTGGGGTGGGCTCTCATTCAGTGAAAAAGCCTCATTTCTACAAGACAGATGTTGTCCTCCAAAGAGCTGCAGGGGCATTAGTGTATTAAAGGCCCTTTTAGGGATAGGTGGAAGAAGGTAGGTAGGGTGGAAGAAGAGTTGTTGCCCATGCTGGAGTGGAGCATGTAGCTTGTTCAGCCCATGGGAGATGGTTTGAGAGCCTTGGTTACAGGGCTGAGCTGGTGGGATCAAGGTGAAGGTGGGTGCCAGCAATGTGGCAGAGGCAGTGGGGAACCTTCACAGCATCTGCAGGAAAAACATTGACTTTGAGAATTATAGTAGAAGAGCTGCTAGCAAGGCTCAGGATGGCACCAGGCAAGGGAAATAAGCTGCCTGAGTGAATCCACACCCTGAGCTTCCCAGAATAAGAGCAGTAATAAAATGAAGAGGGCATTTTTTGGTGGCCTTTATGTCTTAAGTCATCCTTGTTTTGGTTTTTGGGTGGCACGGGGACACGTGGCTGGCTTTGCAGCAGAATGAGGGGGGAGATTGCTGCTCCTGGCTCTAGGCTGGACCCATCCCTACCTGTTTTTGTCTGAGCAAAAACCCAGTTTACAAATTATCCCTGTGGGGATGCAGGAAGTGAAAAGAAGCCATGAAATGTGCACGTTTTAGGCACGCTCATTTGAAATCTATCACTGGCCATGTAGTCACTGTCCCAGACTGAGGTGCCAAGGAAGTGAATGCAATGCCTGTGTTTAATTGCCAGCATGAGCAGCCCCATTGAAACTGCTGCACCTCCAGGCAGCAAAGTCAAGCCCAGGACTCACTGTTGGCCAAGTCAGAGCTTCACGCCTCCAAAAAGACACATTGAACTGAACAGAAGAGGCAAAAGCCCAGGGAGGAATCTGCAGCTTTAATGGTGTTTCAGGGGTTGCTCAACATGTTTCCTCTAGTAAAGACAGTTGTGAACAATAAGTACAGCCAGGGCCCTGGGGAAAGTGGATTGTTACTACAACATGTCACATATTATGGCCAATTTTAAACAGGAATGAATGTAAAAGAAGCAGCTGGAGGCTTCTTCCAGAGCCCTTCAGATAAATGACAGGGCTCAGGGGGTATTGATATTGGATCAGAACCAGGGAGTCTTGAAACAATCATTTTAAGTGTTTGTCAGTTAAAATCAGGAGAGTGTGTAAAGAAACACATGGGTAAAAGCTTTTGAGAATCACTGGCCAAATTCTATTTTTAAATGTCTTGACTAATTTAATGTGACTGCAGCATTGACTACCCAAAACAAATGTCTTGTGACTGTCTTTCTGAGACCTTCAGTGGAGAATGGCAACTGTGCTTCCACAGAGCAGTTAAAAAGGGTGTTTTCCATACCCAAAGCACCTGAGGGATGTCTTTCCTTCTGGGTGTGCTCCTGCTCCTGTCAGCTGCACCCTGCAGCCCCCTCCAGCTCTTGGGAACTGACCTGGGGCCTTGCAGAGGTGGTGGCCACAGCAGCTGCATCCTCTTGGGCATGTGCTGAGGTCCCACAGAAGGCTGCTGGCTATGAAGATCTTCCAACCCTGACAGATTCTGATCTGTTTTAGCAGAGGACTTTAGAGCCCTAATGGCTCAGTGGTTGGACTTGATGATCTTAAAGGTCCCTTCCAACCTAAAGGATTCTGTGATTCTAAGAGGCTTTGAGGGCTGAAGTGTGGCCCCTGCAATGGAAGGCTTGGCCATGAGCTCTGCAGCCTCTGGCTTTTCATTGCAGTGTAGACAGAAGGGGATGGGGACAAGGCAGAATCCTCTATATGGACCAGCATTTGGTTGTTATTCTTGTTATTGATGTATTCCTTCTCTAACAATTATTATTTCATTGCTGCTTTCATAACTTGGAGCACAGATTCTTCAGGAGTTGAGGAACTCGTCTGATAGGTCTCAAGCTGAATGCTGAAGAGCATTTGCACCTGAATGTTTGCTGTGGGTGACCACAGGAGACTGGTCCAGAGGAGAGCAGCTCTTCCATCACTCTGTGGAAGCTGGGACCAGACCTGTAGGCAAAGCCTGATCTCTTTTCCCTGTGGGTGAATCTCAACGCCTGTTGAGTGTGGGCACTGTCAGATGGTACAGGTTAACCTTCAGGAGTACCCAGCTGCAGAAAAAGCCTCAAAAAAAGCCCAGCTCCTCCAAAGCCTTTGTTTCCCTCCAGGGAAGGATGTCAAATGTGGTAACTTGGGTGCTGGCTGTACTTCTGCTGTGGCTGGTTGCTTTGAGGCTTTGGGTGAAGGGTGGTTTTACACCTCATGTTTTACATTTATTTCAGATGATTGAAACGAATGATATCTCAGAAGAAAAGATAAAGATGAGGCAGACTATGGAAGGTAGGAAATTTTACTGGTTTTTCTTGGAACACCCTGTTCTGGTGACCCACGTGTCTTCCCTTCCTCTGACTGTCTGCTCCTGCAGGGATGATGCCCACATCAGTTTCATCTCTTGGATTTTGCTGGATGGCATTTGCTGGATGGCTTTTCTTTTTCCCTTCTGATCTGGTTGCTCAGATGCAGGGGTAGATGTTTTCTGTCACACACTCACCATGCAGGTTGGAGACAGATCTGGGCAAATGGGTGCAATTCTGTCCCATCACTGCTTCTTCCAGCAGGTAAAATCCAGCCATTAAATGTAATTTGTTCATAGGAGATGACTGCTGATGGAATATTAATGGGACTGGCTTAAAATAATGGAGGTTACTGGTTTTTAATGAAGCTTGCTATAAATCAAAGCTATTATTTTAACAAAATGTAGAATTTATGCACTCAGAGAATTTGTATCAAGTAGCTTTGAAGCTGAATTGCACTCAGCCTCCCTCACAAGAAGAGGAAGCTCTGTAAGCCCTGGTCTGAACAACAGCAGAGCTGGCAAGGTTAGAGCTGGATGGCCCAGAGGGTCCCTGCTGGGAGCAATGTTCTACCACACTGCTGTGGGTACACTTCTGGGTGTCTGTGAAGGATTCAGGGCTGTTCCAAACACGTAAGGTGCTTCCACATCTTCCCTTGCTCATTTCTTCAGCCTTCCTTAGGGTTGGTTGGGTTTTTTAACAGAAAAAGTTACCAGTGTAGATCACAGAGGTGATCTCTAAAGAAATAACTTGTCACTTCTCTTTTCAAATGGCCTTTGGCTGGTGGTGGCATTGCTTCTTAACTGCTCTCCTCTGAGGAGCCTGTTCACTGCAGAGCCCTTGCTAAGGTCCTGCTGAGGATGCAGCAACCTGAACAGAGGCCACTGGGGATTTTTACTGCCTTAAACTTCACTTAGCAGAAACTTTGTTGAGTTGAAGCATCCCTGCAGCTGTTTGTGGACTCGGAGGTGTCTTGTCCTGTTTCCATCTGTTCAGTGCTAGCTAGGCACTGTCCCTCAGCCCCACCACTGGCTGTGCAGGTCCAGGGTTACACACGTGCTGGGTTAAACTGTATGCTGATAGACCAGTGATTCCTGCCTAGTGAGGGCAGGGCATAAACAGGCTCACATAAAATCCACTGCCCTTAACGTGGCCACTTGGTCCATGTGCATGTTGCTTCCAGACTGGATAAGCCTTATGCAGATGTGCTAAAAACAACCACTTCTGAGCCACAAAAGCATCATGCTTCAGATCTACAGCTCTGAGAGTGGAAATGCATCAGTTCCACAAAGCTTATCTTTTGAAACTCTTTGCCTTCCAGTGTAGGAGGCAAAACAACAGGCTGAAAGTTTCTTTCTGTATTTGTTTTTTTTTAATTCATGTTTTATTCCCTTTTTTTGGGAACCTCACTTGTGGTTGCTTTCTTAAACCTGTCTGATGTGGCTTCCCAGCTGTGTCCTGTCTCCTGATGCCTGGCTGGTGGTGAGATGCAGTGAGGAACACCCATTAGCTGTCTCCTGGTACTTCTCTGCTGATGGAGGGTGCCACCACCATGGCCCTGTCACACCCCAGCCCGTGCCATACACTCAATACCTTCCTGTCCAAGCTTCTCATCTGTGTCTCTTCATTCTCCCACAGACCTGCAAGACAAGCTGAGTAAGAGAGACAAAGAGGTGTCATCTCTGGTGTCCCAGACTGAGGCTCTAAGGGCCCAAGTAAGTGGTAAGTTTCCCTAATCCAGTGCTGGTGGGAGCTCAGAGTTTCCCTGCTTGGCCTCTCTGCTGGTGTGGAACAAGAGCCCTGGTGTTGAAGTGTAAAACACGGGGCACTGCCTGTCTTCTCATGGATAGTGTTGGCACAGATTTCTTCAGAAGCTGAACACAAACATCACAGAAGATGTTTGTAACCTGTGCAGGGAGGGTGTGGGTTCGTTGAGTCCCAAAAGCTGAAAGAGGCAGAAGGAAATCTGAGCAACCTGCTCTAGTTGGGGATGTCCCTGCTCACTGCAGGGGGTTGGACTGGATGAGCTCTTGAGGTCCCTCCCAACTCAAAGCATCCTGTGATTCCAAAGGGAGCTGGGTGTGTTGGTTCTGAGATTTCATCTTAAGCAGGGCCAGATCCAGAGCTACCCAGGTCCATGTTAGGAGTGGGAACTGGGAAAAGGCAAAAACCAGGAAAGGAAAGTAGAATGACCTTTCTTCTCCTTGTATCCTCTGCCTCTAGCTTTGGAAAATAAATGCAAAACAGCAGAAAAGAAGGCTGATTCAGTGTTAAAAGAAAAGAAGAGACTGGAAATTGAACTGGAAGCCTTGACCAAGAAAACCCACGATGCTTCAGGGCAACTGGTCCTGATCAGCCAGGAGCTACTCAAGAAGGAAAGGTCGGTGTGCAGGGCTGAGTGGTGGGGCTGGAGATGGGGGGCTCTGTGTGTGTTCATTCAGGGTGCTGTAATTTACCACCAAAAGAAATCTGAAGGTTGAATTGTTGAAGGTCCAGCCTGCAGATTTCCTATTCTCTAGAGATGTTCACGTGGGGCTTTGGTTAAAATTTGGGGCTGTGACTTTATCAAAGGGACTGCCCTTGCACTGCTGGCCAGGAGCTGCAAGGCAGCTCAGTGCCCACGTGTGGACACTGACTGAGGTCACCTACAAGCCAGCAAGGCTGACTGCTGCCCTGCTCTGGACTGTGGTGCCCTGTCCAGGTGCCAGGCTCTTTCAGGCAGGAGACCTGAAGTGGTGGCAGTTGGGTCGGGTTTGCTCGCTGGCCTTCCTTTGGCTCTGTAGCAGAGGTGGGAGGGAGCAGAGCAGGATGCTGATGTTGTTTGGGCCCTGGAAACATATTCACCTTCTCGTGCTGCTTCTTCCAGGAGCCTGAACGAGCTGAGGGTGCTGCTACTGGAGGCCAACCGGCACTCGCCCGGGCCGGAGCGGGACCTCAGCCGGGAGGTGCACAAAGCCGAGTGGAGGCTGAAGGAGCAGAAGCTCAAAGATGACATCAAAGGGCTGAGAGAGAAACTGGTCGTGCTGGTGAGGGCACCAAAACCCCCTCCTGGCCTTGGCCTGGGGGCTGTGCTGCTCGTGGGAGGTCCTAGCCCTTCACTCTTGCTCCAAGTCTTCAACGTTTTTGTGCTGCGGAACATCTGATGGGAACCTGCTTGGCAGTGCCTGTGAGCTGCAGCCTGGCTTGGTGGCACCTCATTAAGCAGCAAAAACGTCCATATGTCCTTCTCTGTTGGGTTTTTTTTTCTGGTCCCACAGGGTTTAGATCCATGGCTAAACAGGGCTACGGTTTGTGGGAGGAGCTGAGGGTCAGTCAGGTACACCACGTTGTTTTTACATGTTCTCTCATCAGGAGCAGGGAGGTGATGGTGCCCCTGGACTCAGCACTGGTGAGACCACATCTTGAGTCCTGTGGCCAGCTTTGGGCACCACAGGATAAGAAAGACATGGAGGTGCTGGAGCAGGTCCAGAGAAGGGCAATGAGGCTGGTGAGAGGGCTGGGGAACATGGCTTAGGAAGAGGGAACTGGGGGTGTTTGGTCTGTGGAAGAGGAGACTGAGGTGACCTTATTGCTCTCTACAGCTACCTAAAAGGAGATTGGAGTGAGGCTGGTGTTGGTCTCTTCTCCCAAGTTAATGATGATAGGATGAGAGGAAATGGCCTCAAGTTGCTCCAGGGAAGGTTTTGAGTGGATATTTGGAAGAAATTCTTTACTGAGAGAGTGGTTCAGCACTGGAACAGGCTGCCCAGGGAGGGGGTGGAGTCACCATCGTTAAAAAATCGAGTAGATGCAGCACTTGAGGCTGTGGTCTAGTGGTTAGGGAGATGTTGGAGAGGAAGGTTGGACTTGATGATCCTAGAGACCCTTTCCAACCAGAGAGTGATGCTCTGCCTAGCAATAACCAGCATCCTTCCGTTCCCGTGTACTTGGGTGTCCTCCAGCGGCTGAAGTGTGAACGATGCGCCGGAGCCGCGGCTGCCTGCA